TCGCCAAAAAGCTTGCAGCCGTGAAGACGGAATCGCGGAGACATGCTCAAACCAGCTGGTGCTACACGTGTGGCAAACCTGGAAGAATCACTGTCTCCGTACCCGATCACTTGTACAAAATAAAACTTTAGAGTACTCATCTTTTCCGATTGGCGCGCTGACACAGGGTACCATACAAGCCATTGTCGAGGCAGACGGGAAAAGAAATTTGTGTTTAATTGATACAGGAGCGGGCGCATCGCTGAGGAGAAGAGAGAACCAAGCTGAACGCAGACCGTGCGCGCTAGCCGTGAGAGCTGTGGGTGAATATCGACTGAAGATTTATGGATTGTCAACGCACTTGATATGCCTAGGTGACAAGTCTGTGCAGCACATGTCCCTGATTAGCCCATACATAGAACAGACGATACTGGGGGCAGATTTTCTAAAGGGCAGAGATTCCGTAATTGACCTAAAGCAGGGAAAGATGGTGACGAAGTATGGAGAATTCAACCCCAAATTTTACACAGGCTCTGCCGTGAGCGAGCTGTGTTCGAACACTTCCGTCTTGTAATTTACCGTCAGTACGGCCCGGGGTCGAGGAATATTCCGAACCGTTGTCGGGTGATTAGGATCCCTTTGACTTCTGCCAGTGGATTGAACACGAACTTCCCCTGTCGTCGAAACGCTTTCTACCTTATGTTCCNCCTTCTTCCCATCATTTCGTGCTGTGACCAGGATAAGGATGAAGATCCCGTGACCACAACACTTTGAGGATGGGGTGTTCGCACCTTCCTGGAGGACTTTGAGGAGGTTGCGGAGGCCGCCGAACTGGAGACCGACCGGGGTAATTTGGTGGCGCTGGAGACCCTCCTCAAGGGCCGAACGAAGGCGGTCCTGGATGCGGCCAGAAGAGATCCTCGGAAGACGGATTGGGCCGCCGCGAAGGAAATCCTTGCAGCGGAGGCTATAAAGCGGTTCAAAACGGCTAGCAAGGCGCCTTGATCTGACCCAACCATGTTCTCTGCCGGCCTGCAGCAGTCGTTGGATCGCGCTTTGCCGGAACTGGACGGAGTGTCGCGCCTCCAGCTGCTGTCGGACCAGTTCGTCGAAGGTTTGCGGCCGGCTATTGGTGCAATATTGCGGTTAGCACGAACGACTGGCAAGTCGAGTGTAGAGAATTTGGTGCGCTTGGCCCGGAAACTGCCCGAGGCACCACCGACCACGTTTCGGTCGCAGGAGAAAAGGGATGGTTCACCAGTGGAGGAACTGCGGACCAGAGTGAACCAACTCGCCAAAAAGCTTGCAGCCGTGAAGACGGAATCGCGGAGACATGCTCAAACCAGCTGGTGCTACACGTGTGGCAAACCTGGAAGAATCACTGTCTCCGTACCCGATCACTTGTACAAAATAAAACTTTAGAGTACTCATCTTTTCCGATTGGCGCGCTGACACAGGGTACCATACAAGCCATTGTCGAGGCAGACGGGAAAAGAAATTTGTGTTTAATTGATACAGGAGCGGGCGCATCGCTGAGGAGAAGAGAGAACCAAGCTGAACGCAGACCGTGCGCGCTAGCCGTGAGAGCTGTGGGTGAATATCGACTGAAGATTTATGGATTGTCAACGCACTTGATATGCCTAGGTGACAAGTCTGTGCAGCACATGTCCCTGATTAGCCCATACATAGAACAGACAATACTGGGGGCAGATTTTCTAAAGGGCAGAGATTCCGTAATTGACCTAAAGCAGGGAAAGATGGTGACGAAGTATGGAGAATTCAACCCCAAATTTTACACAGGCTCTGCCGTGAGCGAGCTGTGTTCGAACACTTCCGTCTTGTAATTTACCGTCAGTACGGCCCGGGGTCGAGGAATATTCCGAACCGTTGTCGGGTGATTAGGATCCGTTTGACTTCTGCCAGTGGATTGAACACGAACTTCCCCTGTCGTCGAAACGCTTTCTACCTTATGTTCCCCGTCCGTTTGTCGCTCCATCTATGGGAAGAGGTCCAGAAACAGATTCAGGAGATGTTGAAGAATGGCATGATCGAAGAGGCCAATAGTGCACACAATTCCCCAGTTGTGCTTGTAAGAGAGGCAAACGAAAAATACAAGATTTGCGTGGTTTCCGGGCGCTTGAATGAACTGACCGTAAATCGGGCTGTAGCCGTGCCTTCGGGTGCGGAGATTTTCGATTCCCTCTAGTACTCTCGATATTTCACGGTGTTTGACTTGCATTCCGGATACCGGCAACCACCATCAAGGCGGAGGACCAGCAGAAAACGACGTTTACCGTTGAGGACACCCAATATCAACTTAGAAGAACGCCAATTGTTTTTTTGAGGCACCATTCAAATTGTGCGGCAGCGGAGCATCTGTACGGCAACGGAGCATCGATGTTGAACACTGATGTCATGCTGTCGATGTTTAACGAGGGGACTCCAGAATGTTGCCCTGTACGGAGACGATATTGTTGTGTACAGCAATTCGGAACCACAGATCACGCAGTTCACTTGAAGACCGTATTGAAGCGTATCCGGGAGGCTGGCCTGCGGATAATTGAAGCCAAGACAGCTTGGAATTCGGTGACACTGCTGGGGCATAAAGTGGGTCGGGGGGAGTTAGCCCATTGCCCGAAAAATCGGTAAAGATCAAGGATTGGGCTGTTCCCAATTCAAAGCGGTCTCTACGGCAGTTTCTTTGACAAACGGCATACTACAGCCCGTTCGTTAAGGATTTCAACACGATTGCTGCGCCACTGTACGGCCTGCTCGGGCAAAATCGGAGATTTTGTATAAACCGGAGAGGCACATGAGGCTTTTGAGCGTGTCAAAGCGCAGATATTGGATCAGCAAGTGACCCTCAAACTGGAGAGCTGTTCACTGTTGCAACGGACGCTAGTTATCGCTGTATCGGCGGAGTCCTAAAGCAGAGGAATGGATGGAGTTATCGAATGCGCCAGTCGTGTCCTGACTAACGCTAAACACAAGTACTCCACTACTGAGAAGAAATGTTTAGCAATCGTTTGGGCCCTGGATAAGTGGAGGCCATATCTGCTTGGGCAAAGCGTTCATGTCGAAACCGATGACAAACCCCTGGAGTGGATCTGGACCACCAGAGATCCTCGCAGAAACCTCGCGCGCTGGCACTCCGGTTGCAAGAGTACGACTTCACAATCCAGCACGTGCCGGGGAGGGAAAACCACTCGGCTGATTGGCTGTCAAGACCAGAGGCTGAAGATGATGTCCCAGGATCATGGTTGGAGCCAATGGTTTCGTCGTCGAAATGGATCCCCGAAGGTTGGTGCAAATCCAACGGCCGGATCCTGTGTTACGGAAGGTTGCAGCCGCCTTGTCGGATGGAGGGAACATTGAGAACGAAGAGGGAGACAAAGAGTTCGAAACGTTTCAGAGTCACCCTGATCGCCTGAGCTGAATGAAGCTGGAATAATTTCCTGGAATGCCACTGATTCGGATGTTGTGATGCCCGTGACGCCTCGCGTCCTGGGATGGAAGCCTGTCGTCGAATGCCATGGGATGGCTCATACAGGGTGCACCAAGACGTACAACTTACTACGGCAGAGGGCCTACTGGCTCGGGATGAGAAGCGAGGTAATGGATTGTGTGGTGTCCTGTAAGCGGGTCCGACTGATGCAAGGGGACACGACAGGGGCAACCTATCCCACGGAACCTATTCCTGTCTCAGAAATCGGCGTGTTGTGGTCCGTTGACGCTGTTGGCCCATTTGTAGTGACAACCAGCGGGAATCAATACACCTTGATAATGACAGAACACCTGTCACGGTGGATCGAGGCAGCAGCCATGCCTAATCAGCGGGCGATGACGATCAGTTAAGTGGTAATATACCACATCGTGGCCAACCATGGGGTGCCAAAAATGATTCTAACCGATCAGGGGCCTTGCTTCGAGAGCGAAGAGTTTAGAGATTGCCTGCAGAAGCTAAGGACAACACCATACCACCCTCAAACAAATGACGTAACCGATATTAATAACCGAGCGATCAAGGAGTGGCTTGCGGCCAAAGGAGATGACTGGAAAGTGAACTTGGCAGTGGTGTTGCTAGGTAATTGTGATTCCATGAAGTCAACCACAGGCAAGTCCCCGTATATTATGATGTACGGTTGACATCCGCTCCTTTAGGTTTATCAGGAAAATGGGTTGTGGCCGGCAACACGCTTGTCCCCTGAGCAGCTAGAGGAAGAAAGGAGGAGAGCTCGCGAAAACTTGACCCTCGTTCAGGAAATGACTAGGCGGAAAGCGGCGAGTAGAAAGGCACGAACGTTCCCCATAGGCACGAAAGTCAAGTGGAAGGATCACCAGAATCCTAGAAAGGGTGGACTGGGGTCGCGGAAGCTAGGCGGCGATGGCAAGGACCGTTTGTCGTTACCGACCGCCGGGGGAACGTCCATACAATTCAAGATGGTCGAGGATCGGAAAGAGTAAATTCGACGCAGCTTCGCAAGTGGCATGATACACCCGAAGAGTGGTCGAGTAGAGCGGCTTCCGGATCCAGCCTGAAGGAGGAAAATGATAATCGATGGCAAGCGAACGACTTTTAAACGGTGGTGTGTAACGGTGATACTACTGATGGAGAGGTATGCGAGTAATAATAATATTTATTCCCAACTAGTGGGTAGCATACCGTCGGGCATGATCATAGCATTACAGTCAGAATAAAGGCGTGACTGGTGGGGTTTGTGTTTAATGGGAAAAGGGAAAGTGACGTAAACAGTAAACCTTATTGGAGAAGAGTTTATCACACCTGAGGTGGCATGGGTAGGAATCCAAAATTGCAAGGTCTCTTTATGTCCTATGGAGAGCATATCAGATGGCACGAGATCTGAACGTTGAGGTTTAAAAGTGGCGGGCAAAGAAAACAATACAAATGAGGGCATAACAAAGAGCTTCCAGACTGGAACGTGAGAAACAAAAAAACTTCAAACTACAGGAAGTGTAGGGCCGGAATAGCGGATATGGAGATGCAGCAGAGCTGCCACGACATGGCAGGCCGGTTTGAACTAAAGTCCGGAACCGTCACTAGGGCTTCATGGCCTTGGGCTATGGCGGATGGCCACGGAAAGGTATGTGGGGGGGGTGTAGTGGGGTAAAAATGTATTACGGACAAACGGTAGCAGGAAACGCAGAAGTACAGTGTGCAGTGAAGCGACTCACTAGTGTTGCAGATGAAGCAGGGTCGAGTGTAAAAGTTTCTTGGGAAACGAGTTCACGCAAGCTGAGCAATAATTAACTCATTCGGTGAGGAGTACGAATAAAAGCCGTCGAGATCTTTGCATCTGGCAGAAGGTTCGGCAGATTGAAATGAACGCCTTCCGGTGGTGGCCGGGGACAAATGAAGGTTGATTGTGGTTGTCGGTATGGGAACCAGTGAGCGAGAGGGCCTGGACAAATTTAAGAGGGGAACAATTGCGGGTATGCTATCAAACCGGGTAGTAGTATGTGTTGTTCTTGGAATTTCGCTTCGCGTCTCTTAAAAAGGGGAGATATGTTGCAGAATTCGTGGAGGCGCTTTGTAACATTTGCTCGGATTTGAGCAATTAATGATTGGAGGCAAGGAATATCACGGAAAGTTCAAAAAGACGCTTACAGAAAAGATGGATGTCCAGTTGTGTAAATAAGATGCAAGTGAGAGCTTTGCTTCCCTGTCTAATATTCTGTAACCGGTCAATTGGAATTTCCTAATAAATACCTACGCAGCGGAGGCCTTCCATTCAAGGGTAGTTTGGCCGATCATTTCTACGCCACCTTTGTTAGGTGTGGTGAGAGGGTAATTTATGTTGAAATATAAAAGTTTGTTTCCCATCAGTGTATTGCCTGTCGCTGAGTCAATTTCAGTAAATGAAGCTTCAGCCAGTCGCGCGTTGGAGTCTGTTTGTCCCAAGCGCCGATATCTCGTAGACTATCCTGCTAGATATGGACATTCTGGAGCGGTCGTTATAAATTTTGTGAGGAAAGACCAATCGAGTAGGCGAACAGAAAGACTGGCCAATGCTGCTCTAGTTGGCCCAGATCGCGGATCTTTGTTTACTTTGAAGAGTTGTCCGGGATCACTTAAAATGAAAAGTTTTGAACCCGAGGTCAGACTGTCTGTGGCATCATTTTGTGCCAAATCATTCTTCTATGGCTACCTTTCGGTGCCCAACTGCCAACCCACGGAAAAAAGCCACAGAACTGGGAGCCAGGTTGGCAAAGCCTAGACAGAGGAAGTCGAAAGGAGGAGGTCGGTTTCGAGCCACGAACCTTCCGGTCAATAAATTCGCTTTCTAACAACCAAGCCATCTCACGATCAGCTGTGCCGGAAAAACCAACAAGATTGGCCCTTGTTTATCAAACTAAGTTAATCGATAAGCCAAGTCTCTGAACACGCTAGTTTGGGGATGTATTGGCCAATTTGAAAGCACAGTGGCCGTCTTTGTTATTCTACAGCTGATTGTGGCAAAACAGTTCGTGGTGGTTCCGAAATACTCGGGAGTATACCTTTATTCGGTGCTACTCGAGCAACCTGACATAGCGACTGCAGTGACGGGATACAGCTCTGCTCAACTGATACTCTGCAGGGTAACACGTAAAATGCCCAAAACATCTAATGCCTTATTGCTGAATCCTCTAAATCACACCGAAATTGGCGCGCACCCACTTAAATAGTATTAGCACTTGGTCGCTACTTTAAGCGCAGCACGCACCACTTGCCCCGAATAAGGGAATCGGATGGAGTATGCCTTGTGTATCTACAAAAACCTATAGACAGAGCTGACGAAAGCTAATGGAGAAACACGACTACCGTCCACAAGATGTAACGGTAAAGCACGCGATCCAAAGAATCAATGAGATTTAACCCAGGAAGAGCGATGCTGAAATGGCGAACCTCAAGCTAACTACAACGTACGCGAGCATTGGTTTAACTTTTCGAAAGCGAAAGAATGTGTAGTTACTGGGTCACACAGAACACTAGGCGGGACTGGCACTTGTAGTGGTCTGGCTACCCAATAAGTCAGTTTACCAGGAGTGTGTGGCAAAGTAATAAAAATAATTACGCTAAGTTGGGTATACAAAAATAAATAGGTCAGATGGAACAGACTCACTAACAATTGTTCTCTTTAAAATAGTTCGTCGTTGGCCCAGGTCAGCG